TACATCATTTGAATAAATGAACGTCTGGTATCTCGACTGATTTTTTACAAATATAATCAAGCCTGAATAGACGAAAAGAAAGTGTAGTCACCCTGACAGCTCACCTTCACATCTTTTAGCTCCTTTGGCATCTGCGGATGCGACATAGTCTTATCGATGATAATTCCTTTCACTAACACGGTATCCTCCAAGTGTCCTCCAACCTTAAAAGAAACTATTCAAGTACGAGACATCCATCCTAATGTCTATCAATAAAGTACGTTCTTATTAGTTGAAGCAGAGAATAATGGAAATGAAATAGGAAACTGCAAAAGTACTGCATGCATTCATATGGGAAATGCAGTAACAAATAAAAAGTAAGATGTTAGGCGCAGAAGAAAAGGTAAGATTAGGGCGCCGCACAACAAGAATATAATTCCTTCTTTGACTCAACGGTATATCTGCACTCAGTAAAGTAATGATGATATACATGGATGATTTTTCCCGTGATGACGTACATATGCAAGGTATTCTATCAGATTATTTCGTGACTTTCTAACATTTTGCATCATCGTTGTCCTTTCCTTAAAATCAAGCTTTGCAACTTATGTGCTGAAGGACTGATTAGAACTCAAAATGCGAGATATCACGAGAAAATCTGAACAATTTAGTGCATCATCAGAAAAGACGATAGCAAAAATGAGGAAATCAGATGTATTCAATACAGCAAAGTTAAGGCAAGAGTCTGAGTTAGCACATAGGCGTCAGATAGCTGATGTAAAAGAACTGCGATTAGATGGAAGGTGAGAGTACATTGTGTTCATCGCTAAGAATATAGTTGGCGAAAATATAACACAATACCGTATGGCATTCTGGAACTAACATGGACACTAACGTCACAAAAGGGCAAGAGCCAAACAAAAATAGTGCACATTCCCAAGGGAGAAAATTTCAGAGGAGCAATTGCTGCGGTTAAAGTACAGCTTGTGAGCATAAAAAAATTAACAGGGAACTGCCAACCTTTCCTTCCACCTTGATAAGTTCAAAATTGACATCACATGTGTCAAGATCGGCAACTGACAACACAGCATCTACAGCGATTTCGGCGAACTGTCTTATGCATCTGTTCACACTGTAATATAACCATATCTACCAAAGTGGTGAATAAACTCGACCATAGTAGGAGAGTAGAAGGTTTTCGATGCAAACTGACATTTTGCTTCCCAACGATGTCTGTGCCGTTTCCACTAAGCGTTCCCTATTGGCCACTGGGAATTTGTCAGCAATGCTGTCAAGAGTTTGCAGCGCCTGAAACAGAGCAATGTAATAAAAAAAGGAAAAACTATAAATTTCTATACCGCGCCGCATATCGGAACCTTCAATCAGTACAACCACTTGTCAGCAGCGTCACTTACAGGGTAAGCAATACGATAAAAATTTAAATAGACTCCTTACAGCATCCTTACTACTTTCTCATACCTCCCCTCTTACAACTGCTAATCCAAGCTCCATACCTTTTTGCATGCCAAGTCAAAGCCATCGGCAATTTTGATAGGATGGATTCCACGGTCAAGCAATCGCTCAGCTTCCTCGAGAAGAGCACCAGCAAGTACTAAAAATAAGTGAAAAGTGATTAATCAAGC